TTAATCTTTTCGGGGAAAAATTTGTTATCACAATTTTCATTACGAAAAGAAAAATTTCATTAATTTAACATATAATTGTATTTTATCATAAATATTCTCTATTTCTGGGATAAGTGAATGAAAATTAAAATATAATACATTAATATTGTAAATATATATATTTTATATATTGTAACTCTCCTGCGCGCTACATTAACTCGAACGTTATAATAACATTCGATTTGGCGAGGAAATTTCGCCTATTGAAAAATATATTTCCACCTATCAAAGCTCGCATTTCAATTGCATTCCATTTTAATATTGGATTTTCATACTTTCACGAGAGAAACGATAAGGAGAATTTTGCAACGATATACGTTATTTAATCTTCTTTCTGTATCGCACACGATTGGGGTGTTATGACGGAGAGAATACGTAGAATAGTAAAAAGTACGACATAGAAAGAGAGAGAGAGAGAGAGAGAAAACGATATTGTACAAGCGCAAAAGGGTGCTCGGTTAGTGTAACTTCTTTTTCTTTTTTTTTTTTTCAAAAGAGCCCGAGCTACGGTTGCATGAACAAAAAAAAAAGAGAAAAAAGAGAGAGGATCGTTGATCCGATCCATTGTTAGGAGCCAGCTGATGTCGTCGCGTGCCAGTTGCGTGCGAGACTAACCCCCCATCCGTTTCATCACCCCGTTCCTACCTTTCTACCCCTTCTTCTCGCACGCGTATTATTTTCGCTCAGCTTTTGCACTCGTTATGTTAATTTTTATACGGATACTTGTTCTCTCTCTCTCTCTCTCTCTCTCTCTCTCTCTCTCTTCTTTTCTACTAAGAGAGAATCCCCATACAAAAATTCATTCTTTATTTTACCTTATTTAGGTCACGTATAACATTAGATTCGCTATTGTTAAACCTTTTGCAGCAGCCTCTCCCACCCCCTTCCCTTCCCTTCCCTTCGATTCCCTCTTTTAAAAATTGCTCGGGTGTGTCCACTTTTATTTCATCCGAGAGAGAGAGAGAGAGAGAGTAAAAGAAATCCTGTCCAATCCTCTCTCTTTATTTTTAATATATCTGTATGCACTATGATCGGACGAGCCTAATCGATTCGTTCTGCCGATCTAATAATATCGCGAACTAACGCGTGTCACGATATTCTTTATGATTTTTCAATAGACAATAATTAATCTTTCTCGCGAATCCAATTAATTATTACACGAATTTTCTCTTCGTTGATATATTAAATATGATACTTAATCATCTTTCCATCGAACCAACGAATTCTCATTTTCGTGGAAACACGCGTAAGTTGGTGTAAAGTTACCATAGAAAGAATGAAACTGTAGATTCGAATAGAATAATAAAGCTGGGGAGATGTATAAAGAAGAAAAAGTTGTTGGTAGATTATTCGTTAAATTTTGGTACACCCTGTATTGTCGTGAAGCCATTAAGGACCTTGGGGTCCTGCGATGGAGGCGTGTACGCATAGCCTCTCTACTTATGGCAGATGGCACGAGGAGGCCCGTGCGTCAGGCAGCTGCAACTCGGACATATCCTATGTGTATATACACATATAAGTATGCATATGTGCTCTACAGAAAAAAAAAAGACAGAGAGAGAGAGAGAGAGAGAGAGAGAGAGAGAGAGAGAGAGAGAGAGAAATTAGAGCGTGGCAGATAGTAGCATGCATATACGTGTATTAAGGGAGACCAACGAGAAGCCTCATAAAAAAGGGGAGGGTCCAAAATGAGCAGGCCCCATGAATTGGGTCTCTTCGAATACCAAGGAAAAATTCTATTCTCAACGAGAGGAACCTGTTCGTTTTATTGGGTTGGCAAATAAGTGCGGATTTTTTGGTTGGCAACTAAGTGAGTATGGTTACTTTAATAAAAACCTACAGGTCTCCGGGGAACCTCTCTTTCTATCTCTTTCTTTTTATCTATCTATCTATATATCTCTCTATCTATTTGTATAAATAAGTACTTACGTAAATATATATATATATATATAAAGAAATTATGAAAATAAATTTAAAATGTGCCGATTTTTCGGTGAGCCGATTATTCGGGTTTTAACTAAGCGAGGGTATTTATTTTAACAAAAACCTACTGAGTTGCGCGGACATATATATATCGTAATATAATTAATTATTAACACGTGATATTATAGGAAATGACTCCTTTTTTAAATAATAATATTCTATCTATCTATCTCTATCTATTTATTTTGTTTTATCCGTTTGAGAGCGTAGAAGAAAATAAGACAAAAAAATAAGAACGTGCGTAGGAAACATTCAATTTTACTCGAATAATCGTTCCCCTTCCTCCCCCCTGTAAAGAAAATCCTGCGTGAGTTTTAACGCGAGTCGAATCAAAGTAATACCCCTATTCGCCATGCAAAAAGAATAAGAAGAAAAATGGATTTAAAAAATTTACCTTTTAAGGTTTTCCTATTTCTATTAGTGTTCGTGTATTTTTCCGTACAATAAGGATTCAATAAAATCATGGGAGCTTTTATTCGTAAGTTACAATTTACGTGAAAGCTTTAGAATGAAAGAGGTGTTATATCCACAAGATGGAAAACAGTACCGATGCTAACAGGACAAGAGAAGAAACAGCAACAGCAGCTGCGAAATTATTTGAATTGACTCGAGTGAGCAGCTGTCCTCTTCCTCTCTCTCCCTCTTTCTCTTGTTCTCTCTCCTTCTCTCTTTTCGAATATCCCGATTCTGCTTCTGGATTTCGTGTCTCTTGCACCATATGGACCGTCTAGATTCGAGTGGGCCCCGTATTCCCTAAATAAATTCTTTCGTTCTACCAATCTCGTGTCAAAGTTTTTCTAATCGAACTACTACCGTGCTGATAAAATGTTACATTTCTAGATATGCATACTCCTTCTCTATTTGTTTTTTGTTTTTTTTTATTTTGTTATAATAATATAATCTCAAAACGAGTTAGTAAATAATATATTATTTACGTTTACGCGTGATTTATATTTAAAACTAATTTCTAAACGTTTTACACCATTTTTAGATAACCTTTTTTCTCTCTTCTCATTCTTTTTTCTTTCATTTTTTTTTTTTTTAAATATTTAATCCTCGAAAAAAAATATTGTCCGATCTTCATCTCGAAGAAGTGATTATTTTTGTCGAGAGAGTAGTACCGAACTGTCGGAATTTCAACGAGACAGAGAAGCATTTGCTGTATTCTCGATGCAGATTATCTATCCAGATAAACGTGTGTGTGTGTGTGTGGGTGCGAGAAAAGGGTTGACCGGCAATGGTGCGCGCGAGCGCGTAATTCCGTTCGTCGTCATAGTCGTTTATCGATGGTGACGAATCGACGTGTGTCCAGAGGAAATCGCAATAAACGAGGATTTCGATATACATATATATATGCATACACGGATAAAATGTAGGATGATATGCGTTTCGAGCGAGATGGAATGGCGAATGAAAAGACAATCGCGTGTATGCGGATTATTTTCCGACGGTATACGCGCCACGGATGCGCCACGGATGCACCACGGATGCGCCACGGATGCAACGCGTTTATTAAATCCGCGTGGTGCTAGTTCATATCCACTTTTGTCTTCCACACCGTGAATACGGTGAACGGATATCTGCCGTGCCGAAATTGCCTGTCACGTTATTTTTTCAAACAATTTTGTTCCCATTTAACAACAACGCCTTTTTACATTATACTTTTTCCCCCGCGACAAAATATTATTTACAAAAGATACAAAAAAAAAATATATATATATATAAATGTTAATAGCGAAACAAGCGTACTTCTTTTTGTCTCGAATTAAATATCCAATATATTATAATATATTTACAAATGAAGAAAAGAAATGAAAGTTAAAATGAATCGATAAAACCCTTTTTATAAATCTCTCCCTGGTCTTCTATCTCATTTTCTCGTTCACAATTGCATTCGAGAATAATCACTCTGGTACTGCCTTCGGGCAAATCGTTCAATCGGGAAACGAGTTAGAAACGATTTCGAAGTAAAAGTAAGAAGGGTAGCAGTGTTCTTGTTCCTAATATAATATACATGTATATATACGCATGCATATATATATGTACAATATATACCCCCAGTGTCTAAAAAAGGGGAGGGAATTGGGTGGGACGAGGGTTGTTGTTCATTGTCCTACGTAGATTCTCGTCTCAGTGCCAGCTGTTGCCATTTTTTTACCCCCCCCCTCTCTCTTCCTCCTCCCGTTTTTCTTTCTCTCATACTCATTCACCACCTCCCCCTTTTTTCCAACGCGCATTTTCCTTTGTTGAAAATCATCCACGTACCGAGCGACGATCCGTACCAAAATTAATCAAAAGGGAACGGATCGTCTGCACGTGGACATCACCCCCTTACCACCTTCTCCCTTCTCTCACTCTCTCTCTCTCTTTCTTTCTTCATGGAAAGGAAGCATCTCACTTCGATCAAAATATTAAATAGCATGAACAACGTTCAACTATTCTTACCAAAGCTTATTCCCTTTCCCTCTTACTGTTTTCTTTCTTTCTTCTAGTTACGTTGCCCTTCTCCTTTTCTATCTTTCTTATCTTTCGTTCACCCTACGAACGTGTCCATGACGGTAGTAACGGGGTGGATAAAGGGGTAGGAGGGGGGAATTGCCGGCTGGCCACGTGCCGTCCATGGGAGTTGTAATGCCGCAACGGCCACGTGCCCAACACGTAACGGGTGTACTCTGAGAAAACGACCACCGGTTGCTCTCCTTTCTTCCATTATATTACTTTTTGCCAAAGTTTTTTTGAATTATCGCGAAGAGAACGGTCTGGAACAAAGAAACGAACGAGAAAAAGAGAGAGAGAGAGAGAGAGAGAGAGAGTGAGTGAGAATGAAAAGTAAATCCCACGCAAGCCAGATTTATATTTGTATGTATTCGTCGATTTTTTTATCGCGAATAGATCGATGGTGTTTCTTTTCGATTGAATTTTCTTCCAAATTTTGTATACAATACATCTTATTCGAATTATTTTTCTAATCGCTTTATTTGTCTTCATTATTAAACAAATATTCATGAATTATTTAATAGACGTAATACATAATCAAGGCAGTATGTTCCTTAAAAATGATCTGTGTATACCTTGAACGAATAATTTAATGGAAGATTTAACAACGGTTTCAAAGTACACGATTAAAGTGGAAGCAAATTTAATAGTCATCCTCGTCGTACACTCGATCGAGTGTATCCCAGAAACGAAACACAGAGATCGTTTTCATTCGAAGAGAAAGGGGATGATAAATGACTTTTCTTCGCATACTAAGCACGTCGTTAGAAGTTCCTTGCCAAAAGCAGATAACGCGACGACGATCGTTGTATATATTGCAAAGAACAACCATCTTCTTTCTTAAGAGTTTTCTATTATGAAAAAGACAACTTTCGAGTTAAGTACGATTTTGATCTATTTCGTTTAAAATAATCCAAAGCAATGAAATTGCCGATAAAATCAATTTTGAACGAGGACTTCGTATTGCCTGTAAGGAACTTCCTGTCCGTTGAAAGGTATATACAAAACCCCATGACTTCTTTGCACCTAAAATAGACCAAAAAATAAATGGAGTCTAGCATGGTGAAAGGTTCAAGAGAATGCAATGGAGGAAAGTGCGCATTTTGGTCATTTGTTTGGAACTATCTATTGTTTATTAAACAATAAATATCGTCTATTGATTTCGCAATGAAAAAAAAAGTAAGGAAGGAACTTATGGGAGAGACAAGGTAATATATAAGAATATAGAAATTACCTTGCCAACGCAAGGGACACCATTGTGATAAGTACGACCAACGAATAGAACTTCGCCATCAACTGTCCTACCAGCTTCAACGGCATCCTCGGGTACATGTCCATGACTCGCAGGAATCCATTTGAACTCCGCTGTCATTAAAATCTAATCGATAGAGAATAGACAAAGAGGATTATTAAACTTTGTTTAGAAATATTCTTTCCGAGTGGCCTATACTTGCTCTAATCGATTCGTTAGTCTCTCGAGTAAAGAGATAAGGAATATTAGTTGATATAGTTATATACTTTAGAATATATACGTATATACAATTTGTACCAAAGTTTATTAGCTAATCCTTTTTAATATCGTGCCAGAACAAATAAATTATTATACATGGCTATAGCGTTAATTAGTCATGATTCTCTCTTCTTTGCTGATACTCCAAAGTATTACGGCAAACAGAGGATTTTATGTTTATGCGTGAAATCATTAGCATAATTATTCCACGAAGAAATTCTACGTCTTTGTTCGTAAAATCAACATTTACAGATTTAAAACTACTTTTAACAACTCTGACGGTGTTGACAATTTTTAAGTAAAATATCAATGGAGTATTTAGATTTTTGATTTACCTCATATTCATGTTTCATATGTTCACCCCCATCGTAAGAGACATAAGCAACACTGTGATCTGGTTTTACTTTAGCTGGTAAAACATCGCCATGGTGTCTGGCACGACCAACCACAAGATTCATACCATCTAAATCTCTGCCAATAGTAATCATATTTGGTTGCCAGTAACATCTCATACCGTGATGATAAGGAACCCATTTATATCCTAAAATCACAAAGAATGATGGTGTATTATTTTTAATTATGTTTTTTCGTCCCAATGTTTGAGATTTTTCGAGAAGTTTCTTATTCTATTGATAGAACATTTTTACGTTTTAATAATAAGTTATTTACAAGAACATATATCGCGATAGAGATATCGAATCTAGATAAGATTTATCTGAATTACAATTTGCTATAGGTGTCAAAATACGAGTCAAAAATATAAAATGATGCGTACTTTATTAGTCGCGTGAAAATTAGTTAGAATATAAATCAGGCTTGTTTAAACGGAATTAGAAATATTTCAAATAGTATATATATATGTATATAATATATACATATATTTTACAATATATGTTATATATATATATATATACATACAATACAATATATATATGTATATATATACCTGGCATTTTGTTTCGTTGATTAATCGATAAGATAACGCTTCTTATTTTTAATATATATTTTCTGCAATGAGATTTCTCCTCGTGCTTTTCTACACTTCCAAGTTTCAAAGTTTATTATCTAACGTTAAACGATTGCTAACGTTTTATGAGAGTAGCGTGCGACGTACTGGGCGTAACTGACAAGATCAAAATCGAAGTATAGACATGTTTAACGCGTTATCTCGGCTTATCGTATTTCCCTAGAACTCGGCTGCTCAGTTTAAACATATGAAACGTATTGGTTAGACTCTATGTTATTTATTTCTTTCTACGCACGTAACACTCACGGTTCTCTGTCGGGTTTAAATTATCGAATAAAACATAATGTAGTATAAAATAATCGTACATTACTTGATGACAAAAATCGAAATACGTTGATAATTAGATCGCGAGGCACCCGGTATATTTATTTATGTATATAAATAGGATGAAAGGAAGATGATCATTCGTAATGGAGGGAACGCGTTTCGATTTAAAAATGAGCTCGCGCGTCGTCCGACGACGATTCGATTTAAAGTCAATCTGGATTAATTGCATAATTCGTTGCGCACCGACGGATTACGTTGCGAGATAATTTCATTCGTTTCATGGTAGGCGAGGCAGAATGATTAAGAGCCATCTAATGCGAGCGCGCGTATGTGGGATATATATATATATGTGCGTGCATATGAGTGTATGCTCGAGGCACTCGATTAATTGACTCGATTAATTGACCCGATTAATAATAACGAAAAATCTATTAACTTTTACCAATTTCTATCCCCTTTTTTCAAAACTACCCTATAAAATATACGATCCATGGAGGGAATTCGTTTTTAACTAAAAGAACAAAAATAAGAACCAAAATTCCTACATATATTTTTCTTCTTTACAATCATGGAGCCAGTATACAAGGAGGACGAACGTTGTGTTATAAATGTGGCTACAATATTCACAATGAAAGGACGATTTCTATTGCCACTAGAGAGCGCGTCGATTCGCTGGATCTGACTTGTTTTCTTTACTGTTAATGCAATCCACCACAACACAATATTTCACGATCTTAAACAAAAAATTTAAAACAACGAAGCTTCGTAATGAAAATAAAAACATCAAAGAGAACTATTAATTCCATTTGTTTCTTTATAAAATCACACGTACTTAAATCAAACTTAAGAACATCACCGCCGCCCTTGTGAATAATTATCGTACTCTACATTAACTCATTTTCAACAACACAAATTCGACGCAAACGCCTATCTCGATCGTCCTCCTTGTATATAGCTCCGTTCTTACAATTTTCAAAAGTATATAGATAGTAAAAGATATATATAAACGTTATCAATACGGTATTTAGCCTAAGTATCGCCACGTTTCATGGAAGTTCGAGATAAGATCCATAATTGATCATACGAGCGGATAGATCGATTTTCAAAATCGTGTGTCTTATCGATAATACTTCGATGATTAATGTATTTTCGCTTCTTATACATATGTATAGTTGTATACACTACGTGTCTAAAGATTAAGGAATATTTGAGGTATCATAAACATATAATAAGAGGATGCATTGTCGATGACGAGAAGTATGATCGTAAACCAACCGAGTATGATACCTTCTCACGAATGGTTTGCTTTTAAGTCGGTCGACGGGTCTTTTACATTTTTCATAAGTTGCCTAAAATCACTATGAAATGTTGTCATATGTGTAGGAGTGTTTTACGCATACTCTCTTAAACGTTCATGTAGTTTTTTCGAATATAATAATAGAAGAGCAGTTTTCCTATGTATAAGTGGGCTGCAATAGAATGACCTGTTATTTTGTACATTGTAATAACCTTTCCAGTGCAAACGGTTAATCTCTGAACTCCTACGCCAAGTAAGGATGATGATATTAAAAAAAAAAAAAAAAAAAAGAAAGAATCAGATCAAATGAATTCTAAACAAAAGGGAAAACAAATATTCCGGAAATTAGAAATATTACCTATATTTCTGAGTATTATTATTTTCCACAGAAATAGAAAGAGAGAGAGAGAGAGAAGTATCGGAGATAGTAGTTGGTTAAAAAGAAAGAATTTGTATCGAAGTTTATTTTTTATTTGTTTCCTCCTAAACATTCTTTTACCTTTTAATCGAAGTCGAAGGCTTTTAATGAAAGAGAAATGCTTCCGTGGAATCGCGGCGGTGCTTCGTAATTTGCGGTTTACCTTTAACAAGCGGGAAATAGCGGTGTACAGGCGTACCGTGTAATTATCTACTATGAAATCGGTTCGACCAAAATCATTTCGTTTCGCGGTAAAAGCTCCAACTCGGTAAGTGGATGAAGAAACCTAAACATGCGAATACGTTTTTATTCGATATTACAGTTAACTTATTAAAAAAAAGTAGGAACAACCAACCCAAAAAAAATATATAGATATATATATATATCTACGTCATGTTCGTTTTAATTTAATTATCTTATCTTATCTTTTTCAACACTAAATTATATCGTAATATCTCGATGATATCATTTTTCTTTGTCTTTCTTTCTGAAATATTATTTGATATGTTGACACGCATGTGTGCACACGCGCAGCCCATAGAATGAGATTTACATTTAATCGTAAATCCGCGAACGCGACCTCGATAACTTTTCCCCTTATTATTCTCGGTTATCGAGTGAGCTGGAAAAAGGAGGGTGGTGTTGGTTGGCACACTACGCATAAAAGTAAGGACGAATAATCGCGAGAATTCCCATGACGCGTCGAGGGGACTCTCATGGGAGGACAATGATGGTCCGGATCATGGGGAACCCGAAATGGAAAAAAATAGACAAATAAAACTACTACGAATCACGAATCCAATACGTTCTTTCTTCTTGATGAAATATTTTCAATAAAAAAATCTTTATTAAAAAATAAATAATAACATATCTAGGATAAATTTTCTCTTTGTCTCTCTCTCTCTCTCTTTCTTACTCTGAACGAAATAATGAACATTAGAAGAACTTCAACAATAAACGTTCTGCCTTTTACTCTGATCACGGGGAAGAAGAAAAAGAAAAATATGATAGAAGAAAAGTCAAAGTTTTTGATTCGATTTGGTCAGATACTTTCCCATCGAAAATCATATTTGGAAAAGAAAGGAGGAAAATTGTTGGAAGGAAGGATACTTTCCAAGTTGCAAAAAGAAATAGGAGAGGGTGGATGTTTAGGGTGGACGTTTACGGTGGACGTTTACGGTGAGGAAAGATAGAAAGAAAGAAAGAAAGGAAAATCGGGCTGGTTGGGCTCTCTTTGTCGGGTTTACGCTTCCTTTGTTCGATTCTCGCCGCCACGCGACGTGCCGAAGTTTCTGGTAGGCACGGGGAATTGGAGAGGGGTTGCTTCGAATGAGGGGTGGTTTGGTACGAAGCCGGCATGGCGATGGATCGATACAGCACCAAGGGGTAGAGTGTTATGGGGGTGGTTCTCTCCGGTAATACACGCGAGGGAGCGAGAGTTAGCGAGCGTACAAGGGAAACTGAGAGAAAGAGAAGGATGGAAGGTGTATAGTACGTGCACTCCTTCCATTTTGCAATGGTAGCAGCACCCTATTCGTCAATCCTCGTCCCTTATCCAACGAGAGAACGTTTTCTCTTTGTTCGAGTTCGTTAAACTTCCAGTCGGTCGACGTTACCTTCTATTTCTTTCTCTATCCCCATCCTACCATCTTTATGTCTTTCCTCCTATTTCCTAATTACCTTTGATTATTCCTTTATCTTCTATTCACTACAGAATATTCTATAATCTATTTTAAAGATCTTCATATGCTTCTAATTGGAAAATCATACGGTAGTTATCTTTATAATCGATCTACGATCAAAAATACTTATTATGCTTTATAACGTTTATTAAATGAATTTAATCTAAAATATATATTCAATGTTTATTCTTCTTGAATAAATATCTTAAAATCTTTACACCCGCGCATTTACCGAGAAAAGGAAATTTCGATTCGATAAGGACTCGGAACACTTCGTTTTACGTTTATGCTCGGTATCGTTGAGAAAACAAGTTCGAATGCATAAGAACATAAAAGATAGTTTCTCTTGCGCGACTAAGGAAGATTGCCCGACTATACAACGACACGTACTACTGAAATCTTCTATAATACTGAATCGTTTTGATCTAACTTGCTTCTAATCTCTTTGATGCGATTCAAAGGTTAATACAATCTTTTTACGAGGATCACGTACTTTCTTATGGCGAAAACGTGTATTTAATTAACGACAAATTTTCTATACTTCTCTTACTTATTTTCATACTTTTATTTCTCTCATTACGTTCTCTATCTTTTACCGTTTTTTAAATCTTCGTCTAATTTTGTTTGAACTTTGTTTGAACCATTGTTTGCATCGAAAGAATGGCGATTAACTCGTAAGAACGAGAAGAGACAACGTCTCGTTCCGGTACACTCTTGCATTGACTCCGTACAATAGAATAAACTTACCAAGTGGATAAAGAAAAGTGGTGCTCTAGTAAACTTCGAGGAAAATCCTTGCGTGACGATGAGTAGGATCATTTTTTTTTTATTGAGACTTCCTTTTATTTTACATGATAAAAGAGTAGATACTTGTCAGTTACAGAACTTCCTAATAAACCCTTTAGTTCTTAACGTCGACCCTAGACCATAACTTTGATAATCGATAACACATTTCTACATTTATAGATTATTCAAGAAAAAGAATACTTTTATTTAAAACTTTGTGAAAAGCATAGAAGAATAAGAAGAGGCATAAGATACAGTCGACAAGTAAGCAGGAGGATTTAAAAAGAGGTTTAGTTACACTTGGCTTACTTTCGAGATTCTCTCGAAGTACCAACATCTTCTCGATCCTTCGGCGAATGCATCTACCGAGAGAATTCGTTCCATTTAAAATGCATTAACCCCCCCCCCTTCCCTCTCTCTATCTTTTGCTTTCCTAACGCTTTGCCTCACCTTCTCGTTAAGAAGTCCACATTACTTTCTGAATTTCCACTCGCTACTAGTCTGACGTCACTACCATTAGGATTATTTTCAAAAGCTTTGGAAAGATATGCCTCTCGTATTACGAGTCAAGCATCCACGTTTTGGTAACAGCTTATGTAAGCTTACTTCCCTTTCTTTCTTTTACTCACGTTCTGTTTCTGTGAAG